GTAGGTGTTAGCAGCGTTCGGAACTCGCATTGAGCACCTTAAGGTCAAAATAACTATTTTTTGCCCTGCAAAGTTAAAAGCAAATGCTCGCTGCTTTACACTGTTTGCCGTCTCTATCGCTATTGCAGTCGGCGGTTCGGCCATGGCTACCGGCGATGTCCACAGTGTGCCCCAAAGCAAGATTAACGCAGGACGGTGGCTTGCACGTGAATTCGTTTATAGTGATGGTGGAGGTGCGTTGCATCCACTGCGTCCTCTGCCCTCCCCCTCACCACCCTGGGCTCAGTGTCAAAGCGCAGTTGAGAATACCGGAGGAAGGATCAGGCGAAGGAGGCAGGTACAACGTTAACCCGAGTCTAGGCATGTCACCGCCCCATGAACAGTATTCGTTAGGGGTGCGCAGGCGAATAACTCTTGTTGGACCTCGATTTGGCCCAGTTACGTTTCGACGCAACTTCTGCGTGACCCGTTGTGGGGGATCTTCAACCACAATAATAATAATTATCATCCCTAGCCTGTCCGAAAATGTGATGAGATATCAGAACTAACTGAAGCACGCCCCGACTTGCTTATGTTTGATAGATGACTTGTATAATGGGAAAATATCTTGGAACCGCATCTTTTAGTGTGCGAGTTCTCCGTCTTCCTCAACTAACAAACACAACTTGTCTGAGTAACAAAAACTTATTAACTGGTGCGTATGACAATTGTTTACCTGCCAAGCCAAGTGTGACCGAACGTGCATAACTCATCCTAATTCAACAGAGAAGGCTGTCATCATTCGAAATATGGCGCGCCTATTTGCTAGATAGTCAAAAACATTTTACATCGGCAGTTGTAGTGCTCCCGAACATACCCATAAAATGAGCTTCACATCATTCTCCACGTACGATAGCATGTAACTAAGTACCATAAACAACCATTACAATGCTTTGAATGTGTCAGAATTTAAAAGGTTTCATACATTAACTCCTTATTTGGTAAGATCAAAACTCCGCATTGGCATTAGGGCGGATTAAACCTTTGCTGATTTTACACTCAAGGCTTGAGTAGGAAGATCAGGAAAGTTAAGACGTAAGTTCTATTTCATTGTCTTGGAGATTACTGTAAGCACTCTGTTCGTTGTTAAAGTTGGGAATAAAAAGGCAATTTTGAGGATGATAACAGGTCCGAGTTCTAAAGTTATAAGTGAATGTTGGTTACAAACAAATCTACCCATACCCTGAAATCCGTAGAGGCTGAACAGCCAAAAATCTTCTGTAATTCATTGAGACTGCGGAATTGTTTCTAGGCAGACTGGGCATTTTTTACTCTTGTTTTCGTTTCTAAAAATGAGTCATTTGTCACCAATTCCAATGCTTCAAAAGGACCTACGGAAGTTAACGTCATAGGCCTTCATTTATGCAAATGCTGCCGTCAGTTAAAAACTTTGAATTGAAAAGAAGTCAGTATTGTTTATTTCTCGAGACAGAGAAAAAAGGTTTTTGGCGCTTAAAAGAGCTTTGGTATTTTCTTCGTAATGCATCAAGATTTCGCCTCAAAACCTCTTGGGAATAAAACATACGATGGCCTGCAAATCAAAAAACCGTAGTTTGAACCACACCAAAATAGCCTTATACATATTAATTTACTTGCTGTGTTTCGTCTTTAGTACGAAATATATAAAACAGCAAGTTTTACTGCCAATAGTTCTGGATGGAACGACAAAAGCAAATGTAGACAAATGACGGTTGGGACTCCAGAAAATCACGTTTCAATTTAAATTTAGTAAGACAACATAGACATATTTTTAGCGCACTGCCTATAGAACACGAAAATGACTTCTTGAAACTTGCTGTCCACCTACTCCATATATTTCTTATAATCGCATCCCTGTAAAGTCGGTTTACTTGGAAAAAGAAAGCAATCGTTTAGAATAGCGTTTTAAAACTAAGATATGGTTATATATTAACATGGACCACCGTATCAACGTTCTCTTGTGTGAAATCCCGGGAGGTCCTGGTTTGAGTTAGAGTTTAGACCGAAGTTAGAACATGAAGTAGGTGCTCTTTGGGAATATAACACAAGACCACCTGCAACGTTGGTTGTGCTTATTCCCATGTCTTACCCTTCACGATCTTGCAAAAAGTGTCTTCTCTGTTCACCCCTTCGACTGCGCACCAGTATTGGCTTCCAGGTGTTCTTTCGGAGCTTCCTGCTAAAAAGGAAGTATTGTTTTCATTCTACCGGCTTTGGATGAGGAATGACTCAAGTTGGTTCTTGGTGTAAATGTTCAGAGGGTTGTGCGTTGTTTTGCAGGCTTATGTGATTTACTCTAAAAGTCCGGGAATGCTAGTGATTTGTTCATTCCTTCCATTTTCCCTCTATTCATATGAACAGTTGTCAGGAGCGCGTGTTGTGGACAATGGATACAATAAAAGTGTCCATACTGATTTATCCAATGCTGAATGAAGTCTTGGAGCGGTTGTTTAATTAGACTTAAGTAACTTGAAGTTTGGTCGATTAAAAATTGTATAATAGTTCAGAAATTCCCAAATATACCTAAAGCAGTTTGTTTTGGACTCTTATTTCTTTTTAACCTGGAACTTCGAAATCTGATCAAAATAAACATGCACGAGGCAATGACCTATCCAGGAAACTGCTTGACCAAAAAAGTACTTTTGTAAGCATTCCCTCTGGCCATTGCGGTCTGTTTCTTTCGCCTAGGTCTATTCGTTGAGCACTCTGAAGTTCTGAGCGGCATCAAATTTGCATTGATGATACCAAAAATGCAGTGCCCAACCGAGAAATCAGCTTGCGAAGGTCATTTAAGGCCAGTAACTCATATGTACTAATGATAAGGAGAAAAGTATGTATTCATTAGGTTTAATATCACATAATCCACCTACCAGCAGACTGAATCTCCTTGGAGTGCCATTTTGCTCATTGTAAGCCGATAGATCCTGGTAATTTAACTCAAATAAAGAAAATCAATTTATACATGTTGTTTCACGAATGCGAGCCTTCGAGCGCGGACATTCTTGCTTTGTATATTTTTCAAAGACAAGCGCAATGTTTCCTCTGATACTGTTGTTCCTGAAGAACGATACTCAGTTGAACACCAGTTGCCCAGACAGGCCACTCTGATCTGAAGTCACTTATATTTTAGGCATATTTAGGTTTGCTTTAAGTTAACGGAGGCCTGTGTTTTATCTTTTAACGATTTAGATGAAGGGATGGCTTTTCTTAGGGAAATAAAAGCACTTTTAGCAACTGATGTTCAGATAATGCACCAGATAAAGCTATATAGAAGATATTTGGGAACTGGAGACATGTGTGATTTATTGAAGAGTATTCCGTTCAAATTAGATCATTTCAAAAGCCCATGCTATTGGCAACCTCAGGACTGAAGCTAGGAACGAAGAAGCTTGTCCAAAAGTGGTCCGAGGCATACTCCTGGCATGCAAATCATCACTGCCAATGGATAAATTTCGCCTTTGCATTTTTAGCCTGTCAAATTATTGGCAAAATGTTATCGTAAAGGCTCGAATTTGTAGTTAACAAAAAATGCTTTATATATGACTGCGTCCATTTAAGAAACACACACAAAGATTAAATCAATTAGGCGTTCTCAAATCATAAAACTTTTAGTTATGGGTGGAAGAGGACTGTATATATTGCCCCTTAGTAACTACCAAACAGACTGCTCTATCAACCGTTCTCATTCCAGTCTCTCATAAAAAGAGAAGAGCTATAGAACTCTTTTTATGGATGAGTTTTTAACAGTTTCGTTGCCGCTAAATTGTCGCTGAGTGCTTACTGGTGCACAGTTAGCAACCGGTTAGCTATTGCGTTTGCGAAAAAACTTCAGAATCAGACTGCTACAAGCAAAAAGTGCAACGACAATGGGTAAGCAACGTTCTAACATCAAATACCTTTAGTTGTGCATGTGCAAAGGCAGACGTGGAAGAAACTCCAATTCTATCAAACAGAGATAACTTATTGTAGTGCTTAAAAATATGCAAAGGAAGTTATATACACACTGCTATTTTCCATGCAAAAATGAAGGCCAGCGGGTTAAAAACTCTTGCGCGCTACTGAAAGACCAATAGTAGGGCCTGTAAATACACAGCAGATTTGCTAAGCAGTTCATTTGGTTTTTTATTTTGCATTTTCTAGGTCTCCAAATCACGTTGGCTGTTCTGCATCCTCCCACCACGAGACTACGTATATGTTTAGTCGTTCCTCTAGGCTGAGATGTATAAGATTAGTGTTTCACAATACATGAATAACTGGTTGATATAAAATAGGATACTGGTATGGGAAACTTAAATAAACGAAATTGCCTACTGTCTGCGATTACAAGAAATAACGTTGGTTAAACGGTCAAATTGGAAGGATAACTTACCACCCCATGAACTTCATATCGACAACCAATTTTGTAAAACTATATGTAGATAGTTCAGTCAGACAGTATGAACTCATGTGAAGTTTTTTCAGTATATCGTTAAGTCTCTGGCAGGCATGTGCCCAGCAGTTGTCACATAACCAACCTGCCCAGCTGATTTTATGAATTCCTCCGAATATAAACAGAATATTCAAGCACACCTCGCAACTGCACGAAATGCCTTTCTGACAATTAGGTTGCGTAACCGGGGTTTTTATTTTCTTACGGCTGAAGTTGACAGGTTCTGTCATCCGCACATTAATAAACCATGAGTCTACACGTACAGTGTACAACTGACTGTCATTCAGTTTCAGCAATATAGCCCGTGTGTTGTGTTAGTGAGGCTCTCGGCTGAATACTATTGGTGAGATTTTGGGAACGTGGAAACCGTGACCAATATCCTTCCCGTATTTCCAAATAACTTTAGTATTTAAATGTTACCCTTATGTTTTTTGGGTCGGCTGAAGAACTTTGCTTCGAGTGAAATTCTGAAGGTCATGTTTCCCGCATATCTGCTTCCTTCAGATCGACAGTGCTGAAAATTTCATAATTGTTTCTAACGCATGCAATATCGCACTGGCTAACCGCAGGAACGACAAGAAAACATCATTGTTTCGACAATGGCATCCTATTCTTTTCTAGCGCTTGCTTTTTTCAGATCGAAGCCAGCAGCTTGCTGCTAAAAGCAGGCACGACGCCTTATACGTGTATGAGAAAAAATGAACCGTTAAATTTTTGCGACACCATGCCGTAAAATGTTGATGCATGTTAGTGTTTAAGTGTAAAATAAAATCTTCCCTTGTCTTGTTTGAAAATATAACGATTTGGAAGCTCCATATGGTTGAATGCAGTGAAAAGCAAACACTAGTGACAGGATTAATCTGTTTTAAACTTGCGCGACGTTTATGCCATACTGGTAGTATCTTCTGCATGATAGCTAGTTGACGGCCTTGGTTCACTCGGCCTCAGGAACGCTGGGACGCATGATTTGCTAGCCCTAAAATGTCACCTGTGAAGGATACGCCAGTTTCTGAAGTCGAGTAGCCAATAGTGCTATGTCAAATGCCATAAAATAAACATATCCCACCCGATGAACGCATTCATCTCTTCTGCCATTTCGTCGAAAACGGCGTCTTCCCCATAACATATATAATAGCATCTTATGTTCCGAAACAGCAGTAGTTGCACACGGGTTTAAGTATATAGGCATTAATTTGGGAAATGGACACGGTGAAGAGTGCAATTCCAAGTAAATAAATCCATATGGGGAAGAAAACACAATTTATTTTTAAATGTAATGTCGTCTCTCCCTACATTCATGTAGCTGGAATAAGTAAAACAATGAACAGAAGTACGTTTCTAGTCGTACGATATGGATATTTCGCATCTGCTTTGCCAGAACTCTTGGACCTATATCTCGAAAACAACCTTCTATTTTTGCAGGAATACTACCAACAGCAGAAGGCAGCCCCTACGGGATCACCCATCTCTGGTATTTTTGCAAACGTCACGATGCAAAAATTAGAAACTACCACTCTACCATTAGTTAACGAAAGTTATGGGAACATTAAATTATTGATAACTTCGTTCTTGCTAAAAGTGATCGACTGGAAACGGCCCACAGGATTATCAGCTTAATCATTCCAGGAAAACGAAAAGTCGAAAACGAGGTTGGAAGCAAATCCCAATTTCCTGTTATCGTCGTGCAGAGAAAGACTAGTGGGATATTTCCCACATAAATTTACCGCAAAAAACATATACGGGAGTTCTTTTACATTGCAGGACCAATCACCCAATCTCTTACAAATGGAATGCCGTGAGTAGCTATCTTATTGGGGCAAAAACTCACTGTACCGACAACAAAACCTACCCCACAAAATTGAATTATTTAAACTGTTTTCTCTGAATGGATATCTCAGTGATCTTGTACACCTATGCATGAGAAAACAGGTGTTAAGAGAAAAAGATAAGGGACTAAATTGTTCCGGTCATGCGCCCAAACCAAAAAGGGCGCGAACAATTACGTACACTAAGAATGTGTCAGAATTAGTTGAAATACGCCTGAGGAGGCACCAAATACCCGTGGCGCACAAACCGACTACTATACTTCGCATCGAGCTCCTACACTCTAAGGATAGGGTTAACTATTTAGACAAAAATCTCTGCAAAATACCACGCGACACGAACCATGCAGTTTACTATGGTCAAACTGGAAAATTTGTTACTACACGCATGCATAAACATCAGTAGACATCAGAAAGACGATACCCGTCCATAAGCTGGAAACTGGACACGGACTCGCGTCTGTTCACTTAAGGCCCCGAATCCTTAGAAGCCATACATTCCGACAACTGATGCATCAATCGACGCATCGAACTAGGCGCCGACACAACAATCTCAAAGAAAAATGGAAGCAGCGATGGTCAAAATGAACACGATGTAAAACCACAGTAAAGGCTGACTGACAAGAGTAACGGCGCAATATCGATTTTTGGCGTATATATTCTAACTGTTGTGCACCCTTGCTTCACTTCTGAGGATGGTCTGGAAAACCAGTATCGAGCATTTACAAAAAACTTTGTTGTCTTTCCCAACGGACATATTTTCTTGGAATTACATAGATATGAATCAGTTACGAAACACGACTTACTGCGAACAATCAGGTCTAAACATCAGTTCATCACGTTAAACTGCTAATTCTCATCCTTTTTGAATACACTAGGGCATCAAAAGCACCAAAACCTGCGCAAGCCTTTGTCTGGCTGACTAGCTCGCGGACCGCAATGTGAAACGCCTAAAAATAAACCAAATAAGTTCTGTGCTAACTTTGCGTTTTTTTAGGAAACCTTCGAGTCAGGGAGCTAAACCTTTAGCAATTGAAAACAGCACCCCGGAGTACCATGTAAGCAGTGTTTTTTCTCGCAAAGTCAAGGGATTGTTTATATTCAAACCAAATTGCTAAGTAAATCAGCATTCTTTTGTTTTTGATTAAAGCTAATTAGTTTGACAAGACTTTCTTAAAGTTGACCCTTTTGAAATCTGGTTGCCTAATGTGCAAGGAACCATGTGAAAGGCTGATTCTCGATAAACATTGAATACAAACCCAACACTGCACTCACGTATGCGTACAATTTTGAAGTATTTACGGGCAAAGTTGGTAGAAAATTAGACTTACTGAAGCCGACAATGGTCTGTATCATTTGTATACTTACTGTATGTAAGAATCCAGCTTTCTTATGTGACACGAATCCGTCAGGTAGAATGAACTATTCTCAATTGCCGTCGGCCTTCTGCAGTTACTGTGTAGTCTGCCTACAGAAAAAATACTCACCTTGCCAGGGAGGAAATGGCGTTTTTGGACGTCCTCAATGTTGAAAACATTATCATCAAACATTACAACTCATCGGTAGATTGCAATAAAAATGCTAACTTCCGCAATGGCTCTTCTTTTGAAATTTTGATATAAAACTTCTGAACGTTTCAATAAGTTCTAATTGAAATTAACTAAACGAGTCCTAGTTTGCAATCGACAAAACTTTTGACCAGCTTGCCATAGGAGACACTAATGAGCCCCCCACCGATCAAGCACTCCTGGTAGCTCATCGAAACACATGCCTGGACATCTGGCTACTCCCGCCAGACAACTTAGGCCTATGAAAGTCACGCTCCGTCAGGAGGATTGCACGTCGGAACATGGCTAATTCGGTATGCCTTACTGCTGTATGGAAGACACTTGCAGAAATACGACGATTAAGACGTCATAATTCGTTTCCTCAGTGTTCCTCGTCTTTACTACATTACCTGTTAAATTCACGGGTTTAAACATTGTGCGAACATTACGCTGGGGCTTATATGCATATATTTCATAGATAATCATACAAAATTTGCATTGGAGCCTAGCGATACCTGTCTCGTGGCTATATCCCAATATCGTCCAATATCTCACAGTAGTTTGTGATCGAACGGTGTTAGAAACAAGTACGGGGTACGCCGGAATGACCATTTTTGGCTTATTTGCCGTTATCATCATCATCACCATCGTCATCATCATCATCACCACCATCATCATCATCAGCATCATCATCATCACCATCGGAACCCGGACCGGACGCTCCACATTTGCGCTCAAAGCAATCGGTTGACAAGACACCAGCGTGGGTTGACAGGACCGTGCTAAATAGCGTTTAAGCATTGGTTGTTGACGAAAGACGGTCATTACCGCCATTAAACGCTGTGGCTCGCGAGATTTTCACAAGCCTCGCCTTAGGTAGATCGGAGCGCAGTCACAGCCGGGAGTATTTCGTATGGTTTAGCAACAGTAATTCTATGCAGGCACCAGTTTAAGAGCGACATCAAAGGAAACCGGCAAGCCAGGACTCAAGTAAGTGCGCTATGCTGGGTGAAACTAAGCTTTATCTATTTTGTTAAGGGGACAATTGCATGCTCTGTTACCACCTAGTTGTTTCACATCTGGCATACACTGAAGGCTCTTTTGCCACCCCTCACTTGTGGACCCGCAAAAGAGACAGCAGTCACACTGACAAACAGGCCCGTACCCCTGAGGCTCATGTCGTTCCGGCCGAATGATTCGGAAGACGAGCTAATAGGAAGAGACAGAATAGATGATTGTTCCAGGGACGCGTAAGTGAAGGTAGATGAGGTGGCGTTGATTGCCTAATGCAAGGCGTGTGGGGTGAGGTAGAGTCAGAGCAGTTGATGTGAGACATTATGGTCGTTCGTTTGTGGAAAAACAGAGGAAGGGGGCTGGTGGGCGGGATGATGTCGTCCACCTCCATTAAGGCAAAGAAATAAGAAATGGGGGAGGCTTTTTTTGCAGTAATAAAAACGTTCAATAAAAAAGTCTTAGACGCCGTCTGAGAGATGAGCGCGCAAATTAAGCCAAAAACTCGAGGATTGCGGCATAAATCAAGGTGAGTAGCAGGATGAGAATTTAGATAATCGTTTTATGCCAAGGCCATTGTAAAATGATATGAACACAAGCACCAAGTGAGTAGACAAGGAAGATCTTCTCAAAAATAAATATTTATTAGAATTATTTGTAAAAAACCTCGGCAGCCTCGATTGGAGTGGAACTCACGAGAGTAATGGCGAGACCTGAGTACAGCAAATGTTTTAACTGCCTGAGCTTCGAGGACCCGTAAAATGACTTTTTCCAACATAGGGGGAAGTGCTGAATGTATTACAACTGTTCACATCGTCGGTAGTATGCTCAGACGGAGTGCGCTCGCACTGATACTTAGCACGGACATTTGCTAAAGTGTTGCCGAGGTTGGTTTAATGATCAGTGTCTACTCGTCACAAACATGCTCAAGCCCTGTCCAGAACAGGCAGGGCCTGAATTTCCGAACAACAATCAAACTTTCGACACATGCGCGGTCCCACAGAAGCTATCAGAATTGCAAACGCGCATTATGGAGTCTGCTAAGATAAAATTGCCCTTGATTTGCGACGGGTAAGTGCTCTTTTAACGAGTCACAATTTGGTCCCCAATAAAAACATTCGGGAGGGTTCCTATTTCCCAGAGTGGGAAAATCCCAACATTGAAATGTGTAAGACGAAAATTGCGAAGAAGAGAGTAGTTAGACAAGCAAGTTCAAGGACCTCGTAGGCTGATACGAACCATCTTCGCACAGGTACATGTGATTGGGAGTTGCTATTTGAGCAGTGTAGGATAAGTGCATGACTTGGTTCTCCAGCGGTGTTATTTATAGCTTGTCACATATGACATTTTCTAGTCTTTTTGACGGAGAGCACCCCCCACCCTCCCGGTCACCCAGCCTGCTCAAGCGTCTGGCTGCTCTCATACGTCTCATCACCCTTCACCGCTCTGTCGTTGATAGCTTCTAATTTACCACACCGATATTAACTCCGCGCCCCTTCCGTACTGTCTACCTGTTATAAATCTGTATTTATTCCACGTCGTTTGCATAGCAACGCCCGATGATATGCAAATGCCCAAATACCCTTTACAGGTGAATAAGAGTCCAGGACTTTGATGGCACCCCCTGCAGTCCTGCATCTTCAGGCAAAATGCGTCGAAGCTTTGAAGGTTCTGTTTGGTCTCTCAAATTACCCAGAAAGATTTAAGTACTGTGGGAATGTCGAATGGGTGTTGAAAATCAAAGTGAGGCACCACACGCGATAGCTTCTTATCTGGACACAGTTCACAATGGTAAAACTTCGCATTAAGTCTACCCTTAAGCTCATTTTTAGAGTAAGCAGTACACTCGGGTTATGATTGATAGTCTGCTCTTAGCACGTTATTCTTTGTTCATTTTCTTTGTTGTATTTTTGACAAGAAATAAGAACGGACAGATTTCAGACAGAAGTTACTTTTTAAAAGGACTTTCAACTGCTCTTTACTGTTAGTTTTTTCGTTTTTATCCGTTCTTTATGGAAGTATAAATGTTGTCACTTCCTGTCACGTATGCATAGATGAAAACTGCGAAAACAGAAACGAGCATTCTCGGTGAGGAGTGGGGAGTGGGCGGTAATGGCAGTGACACTGCAAGTGGGCGATTCAAACTCCCTGAACACCCTGCATCACGCGACCTTCTCTCTGCTTCGGCCTGCAAAGTTTCACTTTAATTTGAATAAGTGCGTTAAGTGGCGGTCCTTGTCGGCTCGCCGGCTAAACTTAATTAACTCTTTTCACACACTGTCCACGATATTGGGGTTTGTAAAACAACAGCCCCTTCCAAATGCTTCCAAAATGGCTGTTACTTAGCCCTTATGAACAATTCACTTTCACCAAATTCTTCAAAAAACGAGACTAAACCGCCCAGATTAACACAATGTTATAATGCGAATTTATTTGCAATGCAGTTGGAATTTTATATTTCTTTTCAGGCTACATTTAACTTGCACCCTTAACTCCATGGCATTTTATCTGGAGCTTACGTGCAAAAATAAATTGGACAAAAGAAGGCAAGTACAAGATGGGCATATTTTGGTTCCGAAAATGCTGCCACGCAGGCCTTAACAAAATCAAGTGGGAAGGTCCAGTAGGGGTCTAAGTCTTTGTTGCAAGTTGTCTAAACCACTAGACAAATCTAGTGTGTATTTCGTATGTTTCTGAGTTTGGTACAATTAAGGGAAATTTTAGACGCTGTTGATAACCTCAATTTGCCTTACTGACGTCTCGAAAAATGAAGCCTCCCACATTAAAAGCATTTTTACAACAAGCTACCAGGAAGTGTCCATGCCACCGTCTGTTGCAGAGTTCGCACCTCTTTAGTCCAAGAGGCTCTGAGAAGTTCCTCTTATGATGAAAAGGCTCTTTCAAACGTTGGGTGTAGGTCGTGAGCAGTACATTCCATCGTTCAAAGTATTTCTCGTTTTGTTGCGCGCTGGTCTTCTTTCAGCGTTTTGGATTGAATGTGACGGGTGCTTATCAGTTGACGGGCGCTGAAACCACTTAAATAGGACTGCAAGCTTTGCTGCCTTCATGAAGTTATTGGATCGATCTACGTCCTTCGCACCCCACGAGGCGAAGGTTTGTTCAGAGATTATATAATGCCCTGCCAGCGATAACGGCTGCTCATACTATCCACATGCACAGAAGCAATCGTGCGGCAATAGTTTACTGTTCATTTCATTGTATTTTATTTGGTGCAGGCTTTACCAGAGTCAGCAAACAGCCGGAATGTCTTGGTCTTTTGATATTGAACGTTGGGGTCCCGAGGCAGTCTGTAATGAACGGGTAAAGCTGTGCTTTCAATTTCTGCCAGTATTCGCCGGACTTTCTATTTCATCCTTATTAGTCTTCGAGTTGTTACAGGCCTTTCGACATGGCTTCTTCGAAGACCGTCAGCCAAAAAATGATTTAGAAATAATTTCGGTTGGTATTTTTAACTTTACCGTGTTTCGTTCATTCTATGTGCATTCATGCACAACTTTATTTGCAGGAGAGTAGTTGTTTACTCTAATAACTCTTGTTCTGGTGCTCCTAGTCGCTTTTATTTACAGTTACTACTGATTTGGCGAAAAAGGGAGCGAACTGCCCTACTCATTCTCCCTACCTTGTATGTTTTCAAAAGGCGGAATTCAGGAGCCTTCGAAACATGAGACCATTTCTGTCCGATAAGCAAATGTTAGTGGAATACCTGCTTGACAGCTTCAACTGTTATGGACAGTACTTTTGCTTGATACCGCTGTAATCATGGCCTATGTTGCCGGCGTCAATTATGTCGCAACTTGTAATTCTTTATGTCGTATGATCTGCGACCCTAAATTCGAAAAGCCCGACCCACTCCGTCCTCTAGCAACGGAGACATAATGACGAAGGTCCAAGAACTACCATTATGTCTTGCCAGACTGTAGTACACAAGGTTTCGAGTTGACCTCCTATTTGAGGAATCCGGATGGGTGGAC